TGGAGGCATGTCCTTTATGGATCCCATTTGCAATGATCCTGGCAGTTGTTGCAAGGTACAGGGGCTGGGTTAACGCTAATTCTTTGTTTCAACAGGATTTTACCGGAGTAAACACTCATATAAGACACAAGAGTGGGAACACACAGGGAAATGGGGACACAGCTGGGTGTCTCAGGAACTGCTTAACGGGTCCGCATGAGGCAATTGCAATACCATTTCCCATCACAAAAGGAAAAGCTTTAAATGAAACATGTATCTTTGAAAAGTAGCACAAGTATTCAGGGTGCTTTTTGGTTCGCTGAGGAGAGTCTTTCCCTGACTAGTTGGGGGAATGAGTCTCCTTTGAGTTTATTACTCCACCCGAGTTCAGAGTAAGAGAGTTCTCTAGCATTTGAGCTACACATGGATGCAGGATTTTTCCTAAGGACATCAAAGTAGCATTACGTTTCCCTGTGCCCATCAGAGGAATAAGTCCTCTCAAAACAACCTAGACCTACCGAGTCATGCCGTCTCCCCTGCCTGGGCCATGCTCCGTCAGCAATACCTGCCTCCAGAGACCAGAGTAGGGATTTCGTTACCACCCAGCAACTGCCCTTCAGAACTGAAAACCAGTCGTGTGAGATTTCACATCACACTAGTCAGACCTCGGCTTTCACTGTCTTGCGTTTCGAGCAATTCGCTTCTCAACCCGACAACGCTTTCAGCGGGGACCTGTGTGGTCAGATGACAAAGAGGAGAGACCGCAAGTGAGAGCCCGTTTACCGCTGCTCACACCTCAAGGAACTGCTGTGAATATTTCCGTGTTTTTTTGCTTTTGTTGCTGTTGTTATTATTAAATTTTCATTGATTACTGTACATTTCCTTTTCGTTAAATTTTCATTTACAATTCATGTCCTTTTTGTCTACAAAGTGGCTATTTGCAGATTAAACAGTACATTAGACATGTACTGTAAATAAGAAAGGTTGAGACAGGGAATCATTTGTGGGTCTGGAACAGATGAATTCAATGTACATTATTTCTAACAGGAAAAAAAATGCTTCAGTTTCAAACAGCTTTCTGGAATGAATTAAGTTAGAAAACTGGGAATCCACTGTATTAGCAGGATTGATCCTAATCACACATTGTACCTGCCTTTGGCTCGTATCGAAGGGGAAGCCAGCACTGGCATGACCAGAGACTGGCAAGCAGGGGGCATGTGATCGTGTCAGCAGAGACTCAACCCCACTAGAGGCCCTGTGTCTGGGGAGGAGCCGGGCAGGCAGGGGTTACCTATGCAGGGACTGAAAACATCCACGCCGTGTACAAGTCATTTCTGAGATCACACAGGTGCTTTGATGGTTATACCAAACCACTCAGGCATATGGAGTGAAGACCACAAGTCAGTGAATATGAAAGAGACCCAGGTCTCTTCGACTGATAACACTGGGAGGCAGTGTAGACCACGGAGAGCACAGCAGACTAGGAAGCTGGACCTGAGGCAGCCAGGACCTTGGAGACGGATGCACCAGCCCTTTCACTCCCAAACCAGGAACCCGAGGCCCACTGGCTTTAAATGACCTGCCCCAGGCCCCGCAGCTCACATGGGGCCAATGTGAGGGCCTCGCTCCTAGTCTAAGCTCCTTCTACAAGACAAGGCCCTTTCCTTTGTCCTTCATTTCTTTACCGCTGCTCTGCTCCAGAACCACACACACAACACCCTCCATGTTCCAGGGGTAACAACGGGGTATTATCAAGTGTCACCTCCTCAGAAGGGCCCTTCCTGACCCGCCAGCCTAAAGCAGACCGCCAAGCTCAGTCCCCATTTTATTTTTCTTATAGCACATACACTTTCCCATTCATTTTTCATCAATCACCCATGGCCACCACCCTGACAGGAGGCCTCATTCAACTGTATTTCCAGGTCTGACCACACAACATGGCATTTGTTAGGTGCTCAATAAATGCTGAATAATGACAAAACAAGTCAACTACTGCACACACCAAAGTTTCCGAGTTCCTCGAACGAAAAAGTTCGGGGGAAGAGGAGGAATATTATCATTAGTAATTCACTGAAATCTTTATGAATGCAAATCTTAGCTCCTCTCTGCTCAGTAATTCTTATCAAAGGACGGCTAGTGCCGCCCTCCAAGGCCGGGCAGGGAGAGGACAGTGACACCAAGGCTGAAGGATGGCCCGGCAGCGAGGGGAGAGGACCAGGGGGGCTCAAGTAAGCGAAGCTGCGCCGTCTGCAGCCTCACCGGGCAGCTGGTGGGAATTTTGGCTGAAGAGGGTGGGGGACACTTCATTTTGTTTTTCTGGGACAGATTAGAGAGGACACCTTAACTTTAGAAAAAATAAATATGTGACAAGAAAGCACAATGATGGCCGTGACTTATTATTATTATTTTTTAAATGATGTCTTGGATACATTCTAGGGCAAAAATATACTCTGCTTAATCTCATGTAAAATACTATGTCATGTTAATCAATAAGGACACAAAATCAATTAAAGAACTCTGAAATACAGGAATACACTTTTTCTACATGATTGTTAATAGAACCAGCATTAAAGATGTCAGTGCAAACAGAGGGAAGAGTGAATCAGTGAGCGTCAGTCCTCAGCCCTGCCCTTCGGAGGGTCTTCCTGTAGGACGAGCAGGGAAGGAAAGACTGCCGTCCACACCTGAACTCAGTCATTCAAAGGACGACATTCTCTCTCAAAAAACAAGGCAAAAACCCCCCACAAATGCCTGTGCAGTGTGTGTGATTGTTACTAGAATTACTTCTATTACGATGCTATGAGCTTCTGGGAGCAGGGCCTGTGATTAAGTCATCTGTCTGCTCCTAAAACCCAAGCCGGGAGGCTTGCTCAGAACAGGTCCTTCCGCCCGCTGCTGGGTTGGGTTAAAAATGGGCAGCTGCGGTATTTTTCGGATACCTTGTTTGGACACCTAGATGAAGAAATGTGCCTCTTTTCCCTCAGAGGAAAGCCCACCTCTCAGCATTCGTTTTGAGGAGGTTTTTGTTTTGTTTTTATTGTGTGAGAGAGAGAAAAAAATGAATGCTGATTTGTTGTTCCACTTGTTTGTGCAATTCAATGACTGATTCCTGTGTGCGCCACGATCCGGACTGAACCCTCAACCCTGGCCTGTGTGAACAGTGCTCTAACCCGCTGAGCTACGGGCCAGGGCAGGAAGGGACTAGACATCACGGAGCTACAGCAGGGGGGGACCTGACAGATGGGCAGCTGCAGAGCAGCCGGCGTGTCAGGGCTCAGCGGGGGCAGCCGAGGAAGGTGGGCTTGTGCGGCACAGAAACCACCACGGGCGGAAGGAGTCAGCACTCGCCTTTCGCAGATGAGGGAAATGAAGGTTGAAAAGCTCAAGTAGAACCCTGGGCGGGTGGCTCAGTTGGCTGGAGCATCATCCCATACACCAAAGCATTGTGGATTCGATTCACCGTCAAGGCACATACCCTGGTTGTGGGTTTGATTCCCAGGAGGGACGGATACAGGAGACAACTGACTGATGTTTCTCTCTTAGCTCCCTCCTTCTCTCTCTAAAATCAATAAAAAACCACATCCTTGGGTGAGGATTCAAAAAGTTGAAGTCGATTGCCCAGGCAAACTGGATCTGATATTCAGATCTATTTGGTACCCACATCTCTGCAGGCTCCTTTGGGGAGGTCCATTGACATTTCTGCACCAACATTCAGTTCTAAAGGTTAAGTAGGAGTCACTGGGTTCTAGTCAAGAACCAAATGACCTACAGGCCAGTGCTCCCCTCAGACACTGCCCAGGACCCCATCCTCAGGCCGAGGACATGGGCCTTCCAAGCACAGAGCAGTGGGCCCAGCAGCCTCCACCTACCTGGGGAACTGCTAGTAGTTCTGCCTGGACTGAGCACAGGCCTGGGGAGGACAGGCAGGAGGGCGGGGGAGGCGGAGGGCAGAGGTGGAAGGCAGGGCTCTGAGGAGGGGCAGAGGTAGCATGGCATTGACTGGCTGGTGCCCGATCCTTCGGATGGATGGCAGAAAGCACTGAGTGTTTTTAGTCGGGAAGTGACACAGTTTGTGTTTTAGCAAATCCCACTGGGAGCCGGCAGAAAGAACGCCTGGAGGCAGGAATGACCCAGAAGTTAATACAGGAACACGATGGAAAGTTGCACTCCGCGCTGGGCCACGGCAGTGACGAGGGTGAGAGGAAAGCCAGACCGGCCCAAGGGACAGAACTGATGGGGCCTGGAGGTGGCTGCTAGAGAGAACACAACCCAAGGTGGCTCCCCCGAAAAGAACTGTCACGGGGAGAAAATACAGACACGCGGTGGACTCAAAGCTTCGCAGAAACCAGATCAACTACAAAGCCAGGTTCCCTGGGCTGCTGGTGATGTGGTCAAAAATAAAATGAGAGCAAAAAGAAATGAAGTAAATATTACTTGTAAATACTAGAGGGAGATCTCGCAATGGTTACCACTCAAGAAAAAACTTGATAGAACAGAGTTAATCAAGTAAGTAGTCCCCATGCCGTATTTTATAAAAAAATAATAAAGTACATAAAGCATATCTTTCTTTCTCATTAGAAACAAATTATTTTTAAGTATCATCTCCGTTGAAAAGAAGCCTCTAGAGTAAAAGGTGGCGAGTCCTGGGACAGAATGGCCTGGGCCCCTCGCCCAGCCCTGGGTTTGCTGAGGAAGACCGCGTTTTGCTTGCTGGTTTGTGTTGTTGTTTGTTTGCTGTCAAGCGGGCAGATCTGCCCACCCATCAGAAGAAGGAACGGCTGAGAAGGGAGTCAGGGAGAGAGGAAGAGAGACAACTTAGAGAGGGCAAAGCAGGAGGAAGGAACGCATACGCGACTGCAAATACGAAGCCGGTATAAAAACCATCAGACTTCTGAAAGCGCTAATTTGGCTTTGGTGGCGTTTCCTCTTTCAAGGAGCAATGCTGAATGCGCAAGGGGGTCTCAAGCAAGTGCCTCTGTTCATAACTAGTGTCAGCAGGAGGGCCAGAGAGTCGCTCTTACCATGTTTCAGATGTAGGCCGCTGTCATTCTCGGACCTGTACCTGCAGAAAATTGTGTCTTTAACAAATTTTTCTCGAAGAGGCGTTTGAACATTCCAAATACGCAGTAGCTACAACATCGTGTGAACCTGTCTGCTTTACTGTTTATGGTTCTTATACCAGCCGTTTTTATCGTGCGGTGCAAAGGGCCTTCCTTTCAATGAAAGAAAAAGGGGACATAAACGGGACCTCACTGACTGATGCCTTGAGTGCCCGTAGAGGAACGATAAGCCCTATTGTCAGGTTTTATATTTTTAAATAACCTAAACCACAGAAATGATTCTCAACGGGATGTAAGTTGCAGAATCACTGTAAAAATTTTACTGTAAAGAGTTATGCAAACAGAAGAACAGAAGTGTTAACGAGCACAGAGAACACGGACGACAGGAGCAAAGGCAAACAGAACAAACAACCGCAGTGAACCAGGATTCCAGGAGACAGGGGTGGGAGGGGGGTCTCGACATATACCTTCACAGAATCACACAGAAAAGAAAGGCCGCTTAAAACATGTTTAAAGACTTTCAGGAGGGAAAAGCAGAGTTGAAATATCACAAGATACAGCTGCAGAATAAAGCAGTGTGTATGTAGAAAGATGCAAACTACATTCAAGGTGTTTGGCAAAAACGTGAGCGTTGACTGAAAAGCCACACGGTACCTACCTGATGTGGATTCCTGCAGTTTCTCTCTCTTCCTCTTCTTTTTCTTACCCTAGAAGAGGACAGGCACATCGTCAGGTCATGGACTGTACTATGAGCACATGGGTGACTGGGAGAGAAAAGTACAGGTGGGCAGTCAACCTCTCTCTCTTTCTCCTCCTCCTCCCTCCCCCTATCTGTGCCTGGAAACAGAAAGCAAGAGAAAGAGAAAATAAATTATTGTTTCTTTGTGACCTTTGTCTCTGTGGCTTCATATTAATGAGTACTGACACTGGCGTGACGAGGGTAACCGTGTCCTAGGGCTGTGGCCACAGAACCCTTCAGGAAAGCCTGCTTAAGGAGGCAGAACTTTTATTTCTAACCTGCACACTTAGAACCCACTTCTGCTAGTGTTCGTGATGAGTGCCCTTACTGTGAATTCCACCATACAATGAAAAGGTCAGGATGCGAACTGAGGACCCCAGCCTCCCGGAGCAGGTATGACATCATGACATGACCGAGGGTGGCGGTAAAAGGGTAGGTTCGAACTTAAGAAAACTGAAAGTAATTTCAAAGACATATTTCTGGCAATTAAGGACCCTGTTTCCTAAGAAGACACAATAATATGGATACCCAGGCAATTTTAAATACATTTCAAAGTCAATCACAAATTTAAAAATTTAGGTCCCATTTATAGTAGTCTAATTTTCTGTTTTTCAACATAGTTACCTTCCCCTCAAACAATAATTATAATAGGACACAGACACAGTACATGACTCATTTTATATGAATAGTAAATAATCAACCTGGATTAGGATGGTATTTTCAAATAACTGGAACAGAACACACATCACATCCAGTATCTCTGTCTTACCTTTACTATAATAACCACTTTAACACACCCTGGTGGGTGGGCTCAGTTGGTTGGAGCACTGTCCCATCCACCAAAAGGTGGCAGGTTCGATCCCTGGTCAGGGCACGTATGACAGGCAACTGATCGATGTTTCTCTCTCATACAATGTTCCTACCCACACCTCTCAAATCAATAAGCATATCCTTTGGTGAGGATAAAAAAATAAATATACATATTTTAATCACATTAACAATTGTACACAGAAAACCCTAAAAACTCCATCAAAAATCTACTAGAGCTAATAAATGAATTTGGCAAAGTAGCAAGATACAAAATTACCATCAAGAAATCGACAGCACTCTTATACACCAATAATGAACTCTCTACATAGAAAGAGAAAGAAAGAAACAAACAAACAAAAATCCCATTTACCATTGCAGCACTAAGATACCTGGGAATAAACTTAACCAAAGAAATAAAGGACCTTTTCTCAGAAAACTACAGGGCATTAAAAAGAAACAGAGGAAGATATAAAAAAGTGGAAGCATATACCTTGTTCACGGATTAAAATAATTAACAATATTAAAAGTCCATACTACCCAAAGCAATCTATATTTCACGGAACTAGAACAAATACTCCAAAAGTTTATATGAAACCAAAAATGACCCCAAATAGCCACAGCAATCTTGAAAAAGAAGAACAAAGAGAGATCACAATACCAAATATCAGGTTATACTACAAAACCAGTTTGGCTCAGCAGTTAGAGCGTCGACCCATGGACCAGAGTCCTGGGTTCAGTTCTGCTAAGGGCATGTACCTCAGTTGCAGTTTGTCCCCACCCCACTTGGGGTCGCGTGGGTGGCAACTACTCGATGTGTCTCTCTCACATGGATGTTTCTCTCTCTCTCTTCCGCCCTTCTCTCCTGTTCTATCTGAAGATAAATGCAAATATGTCCTCTGGTGAGGATTAAAAAAAAAAAAAGGCTGTGGTACATATATACAATGGAATACTATGCAGCTGTAAGAGAGAGAGATCTTTTATCCTTTGAGACAACATGGAGGGACCTGGAAAGTATTATGCTAAGTAAAATAAGCTAATCAGAGAAAGACAAATACCACATGATCTCACTTATTTGTGGAATATAATGAACAAAATAAGGGCATAAACAAAAAAGACCCAGAGATATAAAAGTAGGGTACGGACTGACAAACCTCAGAGGAGGGGGTAGGGATGAGATAACCACAGAACTTATATGCATGTATGCATAACCATGGACATAGACAATAAAGCTGGGAAAGGGTACGGGATCGGGAGGAGGGTGTCAATGGGGGAAAAAGGAGAAATATCTGTAACAAAAATAAATAAGAAAATAAAAACATAAAAAGTAGAATCATATTAATAAATAAAACAAGATGTTCATTTTGAATATACTGTGTTAACACATGAAAGCATATTTTTATACACCTCAAGACAGTTTTTCTCCATGTCACATGGCCTGGCCACTGAAGTCATAAAGCTTTAGGAAGTTGACTGAAACTATTCTCACAAACACTAAGGCAATCAGAAGATACTAGTGACCCGAAGAAACGGCCTATCAGTGATAACAGAGTCGTCTTGAAGACTACCGAAGGCGCTCTGGCGGGGGCGAGAGGGACAGCCTGCTTCTCCCTTTCAAATGGGATCTGTGTGGTTTTCACAAGGCGCGAAGTTTGCTTCATGTCCGAACCGACTTTCTCACTGTCTTAACACTCATCTCAAGTGTCCTCTCTTCCAGGAACCTTCCGTCTCACCCCACCCCACTCTCAGCCAGAGTCGCCACCATAACCTGACTCCTCATGGGTGCTGTGATGGGCGTCTCCGATCCTCACCACACAGCCTGGTCTCATCGGAGCACCACCTGAGGCAGCTCCTCTCTGGCACCCAGAGCGCACCTGGAACACGTGACCGTGGCCTTTGTGAAACACGCTGGACCACATCCTAGGGATAAACGGGTATCTCAAGAGAGGTACACTTACAGTAAACAAAAAGCGCTAAATTGTCTGGATATATTAATGTCGCCCTACACACACACACACACAAAACAAAATCATGGGTGGTAAACAAAAATATTTTTCATAAAATTGTATTAGATACTAAGGTTAAGCACTGACTTTAAAAGCTCTCATAAATATTTGGCTGATTGCACCTAAGAAAATATGTGCACTGTTGCTGATGTATGAAAACTTTGGTTATAAAAGTTTTAAAAATAAATTTAAAGTTATAAAATCTATGATGCCATAGAATAGGGCCATTTAATAGTAAATCACTGAGCTATATTTAATACGATCTCAGGGAGGATCATGATAGCATTCTGACACAAAGTGCTAAAAGATAACAATAAGGATAGTTTTGTATAGACTATTCTCATACTGTTCTTTTAAGAATACCTTTAGCTGAAGTACTATCACTTCATTGACTTCTGTCTGGGTTATTAATTAATGGGTTTATTTTGATTTATTATAAGAAATGTATGTAACAAAGCTGGGTTTCCTCTTCATTCAAGAGGATCCTGAAATCAAGTTATGCAAACCAATTTCCTTTGAAAACTGTGCAGGAAAAATCTTTCAAGGTAAATTCACATGGCACTGGACATCTTTAAACTTTCTCCCCAAGAAGAAAGAGAGCAAGAGAGAGCGAATGTTTCAGTTACATCTTTTTTTTTTTTTTATCTTTATTGTTGAATGTATTACAGATGTTCCTCATTTTTCCCCATTGACCCCCTCCTCCCCACTCCCACCCCTTCCTGCCTTTTCCCACACTGTTGTCTGTGTCCATTGGTTATGCATATAAGTTCTTTGGTTTATTTCTTCCCACCGCCCAACCCCCTTCTCTTTGAGGTTTGTCAGTCTAGCAACCAATTTGTACTTCTTAACCCCTTCACCTTTTTCACCCATTCCCCCAACCCCCCTCCCATCTGGCAACCAACAAAATGCTCTCTGTATCAGAGATTGTTTCTGTTCTGCCTGTTCATTTTGTTTGTAGATTTCATTGTCGGTAGATATGTATTCATTGCCATTTTGTCTGTTCATATTTTTTATCTTTTGCTTCAAGAAGACCCTTCAACATTTCATATAATAACAGTTGGGTGGTGATGAACTCCTTTAACTTTTTCTTGTCTGGGAAACTCTTTATATGGCCATCAATTCTAAATGACAGCTTTGCAGGATAGAGTAATTTTAGTTGCAGGTTCTTGCTTTTTATCACTCTGAATATTTCTTGCCACTCCCTCTGGCCTGCAAAGTTTCTTTTGAGAAATCAGCTGACAGTCTTATGGGAACTCCCTTGTAGGTAACTAACTGCTTTTCTCTTGCTGCTTTTAAGATTCTCTGTCTTGAACCGTTTGCATTTTGATGATGATGTGTCTTGGTGTGGGCCTCTTGGGGTTCATCTTGTTTGGGACTCTCTGTGCTTCCTGGACTTATATTTCTGCTTCCTTCACCAAGTTAGGGAAGTTTTCTGCCATTATTATTTCAAATAGGTTTTCGATTTCTTGTTCTCTCTCTTCTCCTTCTGGCACCCCCAGGATGCGAATGTTGGCATGCTTGAAGTTGTCCCAGAGGCTCCTTATACTATCCTCATTTTTTTTTTTTTTATTCTTTTTTCTTTTTGCTGTTCTGATTGGGTGTTTTTTGCTTCCTTATATTCCAAATCAATGGTTTGTTTCTTGGCTTTACCTACTCTACTCTTGAATCTGTGTAAATTATTCTTTATTTCAGTTCGTGCCTCCTTGATTTCTGACTGTGCATCTTTCATTTCTGACTGGTCCTTTTTTATGCTCCTGAGGCCCTCACTAAGTTCGCTGAGGTTCTCACTAAGTTCATTGAGCATCCTTATAAACAGTACTTTGAACTCAGCATCTGTTAGGTTGCTCATCTCCATTTCACTTAGTTCTTTTCCTGGGGTTTTGTTCTGTTCTTTCATTTGGGACCTGTTTCTTTGTCTCCTCATTTTGGCTGCCTCCCTGTGTTTGTTTCTATGTATTACTTAATGAGAGGTATGGGGTTCGCTGAGACCAGAAGCTGCTGGTTTGAAAGAATTTAGGAAAACCTGAAGCAGGATCCAAGACAGGCCAATCCTATGGTTAAGCAACGGGCAATAGCTTGGGTGGGCTTGAAAGTTGGGTGGGGCGGGGCCTCAGGGAGTCACCAGGGCGGGGCAACCAGTGTGATCCAGGTTGCTGGAATCCCAGGTATGGCAGCTGTCTGCCACCCCAGGGAAGGGCTTACTAAAGGAACAAAGGTCCCTGACAGCATGTCTGTCCTGGAGAAAGCCCCCTCTCCAGCCTTCGCTCCAATGCCAAACAGCTCAGTTCTTCCCTGTATGTCTCTGGTGCCCCTCGAGCTGTCTCCTCTCCAAGCTTAGAGGGAGAGAGTCCGACAAGTCCGTGCGCGGGCCCTTTAAGAGGAGCTGCCTGGGGCTCCGGCCGCTTCAGCCTCCCTGAGCCTCAGTTCCTGCTGGTTTTTCCAGCCAGAAGTTATGGGGACTTCTCTTCCTGGCACTGGCACCCTGAGTGGGGTGCGTGGTGTGGGATGGGGACCCCTCAGTCCTCAGGGAGGACCTTCCCAGCCGAGGTGTCCTCCTGATTTTTATCTGCCACACGTGGGTGTGGGACCAGCCCTTCCACCTCTGCCCCTCCTACCAGTCTGGATGTGGCTGCTGCTTTAATTCTGTAGTTGTAGGACTTCCATTCAGCCTGATTTCAGGCGGTTTTGAATGATGGATGTTCTGTAGTTTAGTTGTGGGAGGACAAGATACCACATTTACCTACCCACCATCTTGACCAGAAGTCAGTTACATTTTTTTAAAAGTAAAAATTCACTTCTTAAGGATCAGAACCAGAAACTTCACTCAAAGACATTTAAGAAACAGTGTCCATTAAATCTATGCACATTCGTAGTCCAGCGAAGCTCTTCCTTCCATGGGTCAGAGAGGGAAGGTCAGCTCACCCCTTTCAGGCAAAGTACATCCACAGGAGATCCAGCGCGGGGTCAGCAGGGGACACTCTGAAACCCTTTAGGTGGGAAACGATTCCCACTAACAGGACGTGGCAAAGGCTCTACCCGGAAGATGCTAATTACTGCCCTGAGAACAGAAGCACAGTTCAGGGGAGAAAACTCTTCAACGACAGCAGTCTTCTTAAGAAAGCACTGGAGCCTGGCCAGTGTGGCCCAGTGGTGGAGCGGTGACCCATGCACCAAGAGGTCGCCAGTTCAATTCCCAGTCAGGGCACATGCCCAGGTTGTGGGCCAAATCCACAGTGGGGGTCATGCAGGAGGTGGCCAATTGATGTTCTCTCTAATCGATGTTTCTATCTCTCTCTCCCTCCCTCTCTAAAACCAATGAAAAAATAAATAAAACAAAAAAGGCAGTGGAAGACTGAGCTAGTCTGCTCAAGAAATGAAGCCGGGGAGACCCGGGTGGACTTTGCAGCGAAGCCACCACATGGCCATGGACAAATTACTTAACCTCCCAACCCCTCAATTTCCCTCATCTATAAAATGCAGTAATGCTACTTATGCCACAGGATTATTACAGGGATTAGAAAATAACACAAAGATCATTTAAACAGTTCTTGACAATTTGCATCCAGTAGTTATTAAAACTACAACTCAAGAGAGAGCTGCTGATAAGTAACAGAGAGAAGGACTCTTACTTCCCACATCATGGTTATAGCCAATGTTTGAGCTCCAAATCCTAACCAGTAGTCAATTCTTTTGGAGTATGTCACCAGAAACAAATGTGTTCCCAAAGGCCTGGTGTCTCATTGGATGAGACATAGATATGACCTCAGACACGCAGCCCTATAAGATCGCCGGCAGCAATGGCCACATGTTAAACTACATACTGATTAATGGTGTCACATCTTTTTTAAAAGGGACATTTTCACTTAAGGCTGTCTTAGATGGCATTTCATTTTGAATGCTAGTTTCACATGGAAAAGGAAAATGATCTTCAAATTTTTTTTTTTCTTATCCTCACCTGAGGACATTTTTCCATTTTTTGTTCAGATAGAGTGGGAGGGAGAGAGAGAGGGAGAGAAACATCGACATGAAAGGGACACATCGAGTGTCTGCCACCCGCACGACCAACCAGGGCCGGGGACAAACTGCAACCGAGGTACGTGCCCTTAGCGGGAACCAAACCCAGGTCTCTTTGGACCGCAGGCCGATGCTCTAACCGCGGAGCAAAACCGGCAAGGGCATGATCTTCAAATTTTTAAATTAAGAACGTAAATAATCAAAATTGTTTCCCTCTATCACATGTTTATAATATACTTTCAAAGAAATATTATTTGCTGTATTAAGACTACATTAGTAAGATGTTCAACTCTAAACAAGTAACATAATTGGCATTATACATAAGGTATTTTTGCCAATAAAACAAGTACAACTTCAAAAATGTTAGTACTGCCCTAGCCAGTTTTGCTCAGTGGTTAGTGTCAGACGGTGGACCAAAGGGTTACGGGTTCGATTCCCCATCGAGGGCACATACCTGGGTTGCAGGTTTGGTTCCAGGCCCCTCGGGTGAGGATTAACAAAAAATTTACAATAAATTAAAAAAGAAAAATGATAGTACCTATTCTGAATAAAATACATAATAGACATCAGAGTACTCTAATATGAAATAAAAAATTTTTTTTTTCCCAGCACTGAATAGTCTATGGAAAAACGACACTTAAATACATAGTTTACAAGAATTGTAAAGTAATATAATCCTTTTAGAAAGCAATTTGGCAATATGTATCAAGAGCCTTTAAAATGTTTATATACTTTAACTCAACAATTCAACTACTGTAACTATATCCTACAGAAATAATAGTTCTAAATACAGAAAACTGTTATGCCAGATATGTTCATTGCAGGATTATTTCCAATTATAAAAAAAAAAAAAATAGAAAGCAACTTAAATGTCTAAAAGCAGGGAAAATGGTTAATTATGACATTCACGCAATGAAATATTGTATAGCCATTAAGATTTATATACAGAAACACTATGCCATAACAAAATAATGCTTATCTATAAAAACAAGAAGTATGATACAAAAGTTATGTACACACACACATATATCCAAGTAAAAAAATAACATATGCACAGAAAAAATACTGGAAGGTAATATAACTAGTTACTACCAATGTTGCTTTTACATGATGAGTTCATGGGATTAAAAAAAATCTTTTTCGTCCAGCCAGTGTAGCTCAGTGGATTGAGCGTCGTCCCATGGACTGAGAAGTTCGGGTTCAATTACCGGTCAGGGCACATACCTGGGTTGCAGGCTCAAGCCCCACCCAGTAAGGGGTGTGCAGGAGGCAGCCGATTGGTTTCTCACATCAATGTTTCTCTCTCTCTAAAAAAATCAGTGAAAACATTTTTTTTTTTTAATCCTCACCTGAGGACATTTTTCGATATTTTGTTCAGATAGAGTGGGAGGGAGAGAGAGGAAGAGAGAGAGAAACATCGATGTGAAAGGGACACATCGAGTGGCCGCCACCCGCACCTGACCAGGGCCGGGGACAAACTGCAGCCGAAGTACATGCCCTTAGCGGGAACCGAACCCGGGTCTCTGTAGACCGCAGGCCAACCCTCTAACCGCTGAGCCAAACCAGCCAGGGCTCAGTGAAAACATTTTTTTTAAAAACTTGTCAGGCCTGGCTGGTTTGGCTCAGTGGTTGGAGCATCAGCCTGCGGACCAGAGAGTCCCAGGTTCGGTTTCCGCTAAGGGCATGTATCCAAAAAAAATAATAATAATAATAAAAAAACTTGTCAAAAAGATTTTTTTTAAAAATCTTTTTCATCAACATTTTAATGATAAGGTATGTTTTTTTTCTTTGTAGTATGAAAGAAAATATAAGGTATTTTTTACTTAAACAGTGTCACTTAAAAAAATGTATTAGTACTTTTAGCCCCCCAAAATTGTGACAGCTCAAAGCTTTCAAAATGTGATATATCCATGCAATCTTTATTGTAAATCCATTATCTTCCAAAAATAGGGCACCGTACCAGCATCAGATACGCTATGAAACACATTTCCTTCATCAAAGTCACAGAAAGAAAGGATGAGTGAAAGGAGAGCCGGTGGTATGCAGAAGGGCCTTACATAATTGTCTCTCGCAGACCAGCCTGGATAAAGCTGCATATGGAGCTGTCTTTCCTTCCGCGCTAATTCATAATACTTAGCCTGCTCTTCGCGGGAGAGGGCATGCCACTGAAACAAAACGGGGAGGGGGAGAAACCAAAGAAAAGTGAGCAACATAGAAACAGTGATATATATTTCATGTTTTAAACACTGCAGAGTGAGAATATTAAGCACTTAAACATTGGTTTATTTTTAAACTGCAGAAGACCAAGTGCTGCAGAAATCCAGTTGGGAGTCTGGTGGCTGGAGAGAAACTCAAACCTTGGTTTCTCTCTTCTGCTCTCTGATACCACATGAAACACATCAAAGTCAATCAAAGTATCCAAAGTAAAATGATCTGTCGCCCACCCTCTTTCCCTTTTCCAACACAAATTAAAAAGAACTTTCACTGCTCAACCTCAACGCCCAATTTAGCCCTTTTCATAGTTTGTAGCATATTCTCGTATCTGCGCCTAAGTACCACTTATTGATGCAAAATGTGATCATTTCCAGATGTCTTTTCCACAGATACAGCCTTGCTTTACATGGACACTCTCCCACTTCGTCCTATGAAGAGCCCAAAACACTTGTCATGTGATCCTGTCTATAAGGCATGACATCAAAAGTTAGCCTGTCTGTCTCAGTCTCTTCACCCTATCCTCACACTTATCTAAACACTGATTGTCTACAGGGAGAACACTGATAACATTGTACAATCACACCCTTTATGGTGCTGGGTTTTTTGCTTCCTTTTGATGAAAAGCAAGGAGCATTACCTAATTTTATTTTGCCATCTAGAAGGTGGGGCAGTTGGACCTACTTTGGGGACTATAGTGGCTGATACTCTGCAAACTTTCCATTTCCCTTTCAATTCACTGATACATACATTTATAGCAAACTAGCTTATGTAGATAACTATTTGGGATTTTAAGCAGCTTGTATTTATTTGCACAGTGCCCTGAATATATTTGCACACAACTTGGCCCAGGCCCCCAGTAGGCAGTTTCAAATATTTGCCCTTCTTCTTCAGTGCCCGGATCTGTCAGCAGAACCTTCCAGGAGGCGAGCTGAGCTCTGGGGGACCCACTGGTCAGAGGAGATGGCACAGAGGCGGCAGCTGCAGGAGCAGCCCCGGGCCCGCACCACGCTGCGTCCATCCGTGTGCACGCCACACTCTGGGCCAGCCCGGCCTCCTGCCCCCTGCTCTCCCATTCCACTCCTTCCATTCAAGAGTGGGAGAGCCTTCCTCATTCATGGCCATCCGGAATACTCATTTTAATCTCCCTGTTCTTTTTCTTAAAAATGGCAAAACAAGAGGAAAAAAAAAGAAAAAGAAAAGAAAGCTGCGGCTGGACTGGGAAGGAAGGAGCGAGAGAGGGGGGCTGATGAGGAAGTTCTCAGGGAGGAGGTCCTCAGCACACGGACGGGCCCTGTGCTTTCCTTAGGGAAACAGAAACACCCGCTGCTCTCGGCTGGCAGGGGAACCCAATGTCAGGGAGGGCACGCAAGCCCCTTCTGCCACATGCCGCCTGCCACTCTGGCTCCAGCAGGCCAACCAAGTCTATTTCCTTTGAAAGCCCCTTAAAAGCCGGGGCCTCTGTGCTGGACGGGACAGAGGACTGGTTTTTAATTGCTGTGCAAGTGCAGAGTGTCAAGTTCAGAAGTGCGACACACAGCAGGACTTGGCCAGAACCTGAATCAGGTAATATGCTTTTCTTTAAAAACAAAACAAAAAAGAATTGGGAGGGGAGGGAAGGCAGAATGAAAAAAAAAGAAAACAAAACCCCGAGACCCAGTTCTTTATACTAGCAGAGTAAACACGAGTCAAAAGGAGCCTAGGAAGAGGCATGTCTGAGTCAGCTGTGGCAGTTTCAACTGGGCAGGAAAAGTCATGTCTCCTACCAAGGGACAGCTTCCCTAAGCCGGAGACACGGGCCAGGAGCGAGAGCCCTTCCCAGGGAGAAACACACACTGAGCACAACAGAAGAGGGCAGTCTTGACTGCTGTTTTTTTTTGTTTTGTTTTGTTTTGAGAAAAGATGAATCATTGATATTCACAAGTTCTGGTATTAAATGTGACTGGCAGGAGGCAAAGTATTACCAAAAAGGTACAAAAAAAGGAAATAAAGTTACAAAAGAAGTCTTCGTCTTACTTTGTAAATGTGCTTATTCATTTGACAAGTAATCTCTCTCTTATGCTACTGTAATACAGCAATATAATTTTATATAATTTATGGTAGCTTTATAACTTGCTAAGACTTGAAATGCGTTTTGTAAAACTTATTTCCACAAGTTTGGGAAGTTGGGTCTTCTACCCAAACAATCAGGTATTTTTCAGTTAAAGCAGAAAACTTAGGTTGACAAAAAGGCCCAAACTTACAAAACTGAGCGAACTGCAAGGGAAAAAGCAGTCCACAAACTAAGCCATTTACTTGCACTTTCCATTGCTTTTAGTTTCCTGATATTTCTCTTGTACAAAAATCTGCTCACAATAAATTTACCAGAGTAAAACCGTAGGTCAAACAATGGTATTAAAGTCTTGCACTAAAACAAAAATAAAGTCTAGTACAAACTAGAATGAAGGTCTTTCTTTACAGGAATTTCTGAAACATACCTGACTAAAAATACTTTTCTATCACTTTTGCTTACTAAAAAATTAAGAGTAAATTTTTTAAAAATTAAATTTTAGCCCTGACCAGTTTGGTTCAGTGGTTAGGGGGGTGACCCACAGACCACTGGGTCTCGGGTTCAATTCTTGGTCAAAAGCATGTACCTGGGTTGCAGGTTTGATCCCCGGCCCTAGTCAGGGTCATATAGGAGACAACCAATTGATGTGTCTCTCTTACATCGATGATTCCCTCTCTCTCTCTCTCTCTCTCCTCCCCTTCCCTTCCACGCTATCTAAAAATCAATGAAAAAATATCCTCTTGTGAGGATTAACAAAGAAAAAAAATTAAATGTTATTGTCAAGATTTCACCAAGTTGTTGAGAAATACCCACTTAACTTGAAGAAATTCATATAGTTCCAAGATTTAAAAATCCTAACAATACATTTGCAATAAATGGACTTCCTCTAATAGCATAGAAGATCTTTAAAAAGCTTACCTTAAAGATGTGTGTTATTATGTATAATATAAAGAAGAAAACTGATGAATTCCTATGAATGAACATTTCTATTTTAGAGATACAGTCAAGACACATTAAAAAACAAAACAAAAAAAACCCAAAGATAAAATGCTCAGGGATGGAATTAAGTTCCACTTTTAAGAATTATAATCATCCCAGTGTAAAACGTCATGATTTTAAAGCCAGGAACTTTAAAGAACCAGCAAGGACCACTCTGCCAGAGGGGAGTTATGAAAGGACAGAAAATCTGATCCTAATCAAAGATCTCAGAGACCTATAAATAGAAACAGGTGTCCAAATCAAAGACAGAAGAGAGACCCCAAATGAGAACCATCCCCGAGGATACCGGCTCTGATCTGGGGGTTGTTAAGGGAGCTGAGAAAGTAGCAATTTGGGAAGCGTGCATTAAAAATAGGAAGCATACCTCCGTATCGTATCCTTGCTTACTCTGAGCAGGAAAAGAATTCCTGTTGGGAGAGGCAGGGGACTTATAACTCAAAAAAGAAAAAAAAAAAAAAGCTAAGAATTTTATGGAAGCTAAAATAAGAACATCAACTCTTCCTTTCCTCCGATTTTTTTCTTTTAAAGGGTCAAGGGAAATAGTCATCAGTCTTTAAGCTTTTAAAGCAGAGTTCTTCAAAGATGATGGGAATCACTCATCGGCTTGGGAAATCATTGTAATTACTGTTATTAAGTGTTTAAGAATCCACAGGGACATAGAGTATATTGTACGTAGGGCACCAAAAAGCTATAATCTGTCGCCGCACCCTGACCCTGAAGCCCTGGTGTCTCACAGATTGGAAATAGCTGCATTTTCTGCCATCCAACAGGAATCGATAATGCAGGGAGGCCTGCTCCCCTCTGCCTGACACCTCCTGAGTGCTTTCTCTTACGAATGCTGAAATGTTATTAGGTTTGTAACAAACATGGTAAAAATGATCATCAATAACAGCTAAAAACATGGTCCCCTAACCAAAGGTTGTTAGACCCCCATCACTGAATGTTCATTTGCAAATCACAAATTTCTTGAGAGGCTGCGAACACAAACACACACAGGCACAGTTAAGAAGCCACCATGCATTCATGAAGAGTGTCAACAACTAAGATGAAGCATTGCTAGACTTATAATGTAATTACAGAGAAAGTGTGATTTGAATTTAAAAATTCAATTTTTTCCCACCACTCTTCAGATAACTAACTGAAATCACTTCGATCCTGAGAAAAATATCTGGAAAGACTGATCAGCCTTTCTTGGCTGGTGGTTGGATGACAACAGCTTAGTGCCTGTCCCAGTTGCCGCCTAGTGCCTGGTACATACGTGCTCAGAAAAACGCCTTGGCATGGGTGCCGGAGGGATGAGAAGGAAAGGGGCATCCAGAAACCTGGCCCGTGTACACTTCAAGAATCAGAGAGTGATTTTTCTAGAATAAAGATTTCTCTGGCCCATATAAATTCTTCCACGTAAAGCACCTGAGCGGCACAGATCTGCTTCTATCTTGGAAAAAGTCGCCACCGCTTGCCAGGGTTCACGCAGAAGCACGACTGGCTGTCCGAGGCCTTTGCGTTGCTCCCTGGGTGGGGTCAGGGCTCTCCTGCTTCAGGCGTAAGTCCACATACACCTGGTTCCCTCAGGGGGGTGGCTACCCCCCCAACACTCGTTAACCCCTACTCACCCCTCAGGTCTCAGCTTAAATACTATTTTCTCAAAGGGGCGCCCTTTATTTCCCTAGCACCCTCTTATTCCTTCTCATAGAATCCCAGTATCTGTCACACTTTTAATTATATATGTATCAGGTCATTATTTGGCTAACATCTTTATCCTATCGCAAAACTTTAAACTCCATGAGGACAAGAACCACATCTATTTTATTCGGCAATTATTATCTAATTGCTTAACTACTGCGGTCTGGCACATAAAAGGCAATAAATATTTGCTGAAAGAGTGACAACAGGAAAAGCAGTTATCATGTACGGGAAGTTTTCTATGTGCAGGTACACTCTGGGTTGTTTACAATGCAGTACAGCATTTACTCCTCTGAAAGGTTATCACCACATCTGCTTCTCTTTGTTACTTTCTCAAGTGGCTGGTGCTGACCCGGTGCGTTCTGGGACCACCTGATACGCAAGCACATTTGGGCAGGTTTTAATGACACAGTTCCACAGTTCCCACACACATTGATTTACCATCCCACTACTTACCCTTCTGCCTAGAATCTGGTTGATAGCTGCACTTTCTTTCAGAGTACACTCGGCCACGACATTTGCTCTCATTTCTTTCATGTATAACATAAAAGCATTCAGAGGCTTCTTAATGTGAGGTCTTTTGGGCTCCTGCTCCTTTCTCTGTTCATGCTGAGGCTTCCTGAAAGGTGGACGAGGTGGTGGGGAAGGGCGGGCAGAATAAGGAAGAGATGGGAGGAGAGAAGTAGAGCATCTGTTTACATCATCAAAGTCAAGCTGGACAACCCTCTAGGCTCTCTACAAGCCTCAGGAACACCATCAACTTAGAAGAGCAACTCTTTGTGAGCGAGTATCCTTTGGTTTGAGAAAGTTCACGGGGAGCTACAGAAGCGTTAACACAAAATGGAAATAGGCCCTGGCCGGTTTGGCTCAGAGTTAAGAATGACGGCCTATAGACTGAAGGGCCACAGGTTCAATTCCCAGTCAAGGGCATGTACCTAGGTTGCAGGTTCGATCACCAGGTGGGACTCGTATGGGAGGCAACCAATTGATGTATGTCTCTCACATGGATATTTTTCTCTCTCTCCCCCTCCATCTCTCCCTTCCAGGCTCTCTAAAAATCAGTGGAAAAAATATCCTCGAGTGAAGATTAACAACAACAAAAAGGAGATAGGTGTGTAACGCTACTCTACTTAGGGCCCAGAGGCTGAGCTCCTTAGTCACCTCAGGAAGAGCTGAACCTACAGTGTAAGTGCTCATCCCACTTTCAGAAGTGAGGTTCTAAACTTTGCAAGGGGATTGGGGGGGGGGTCAAGGGCCACTTTGAGAAGCTAATGAAACTTCAGAGTCTCCCCCAAACAAATGTTTGTTGGCTTTGCCCACATTTTCAGGGGTTTTGTTTTATGGGCAATCTCGTGCTTCCTGCCACCCTATCCACCTGTCCCAAACCTGACATTAAGAAACTCAATTGCTAATCTCTTCAAGGAATTTAGCTCCAATACAACAGCTTGAGACAGTCCTGGGCGTGGCTGCCCCTTTCCCGTGACTTCTGTGCTTGCAAAGCATGCTGGGCGAGTCCTGAGCTCTCCACTTCAGGTTCCACCAGGGGCTCCCCAAGTCAGACCCTGCTGAAATCTGGCAGTAGGTGGCTGCACAGCTCGAGATTATTCGATGCCCATGCTCTGAAGAGTACTCCATTTTGGCAAGGTTCCCTCCATCTTCTGAGGCCTGTGCTCCTCTCCAATCTCAGAATCAAAAAATCAGCTGGCAGTGAGAATTAAGCCCATTAGAAATCCTCCAGAAGCAGAGTAACTGATTTCCACAGTAAAAGAGGGGGAAGGTTCACCAGCAGTGGGGGAAGAAACTGTGTTTAACTCCGCAGTACCTGCAGGCACTCACAGGTGAGGCCACAAGCACACTTACACGTGCATCAGGTCCCCGTCAGCGTGGGGGTGCTCCTGTTTGACCTGAGGCGTTACAATGGCTGGATGAGGGATGCCAGTTGTGTGGGGACCAGGAGGACCAGGAATCATGTGATGGGAAAACCTGAAAGAGGGAAAGAGAAGAAACAATATGTGCTAGTGGCTATCTTGGCAAAAGTTAGATGGAATTGTGGAACAATCTGCTAACTGCTTTTGGCAGTTATACATAGGAGTATTAACTATAAATTAGAGTAGGCTGGTGATTTCTTTCCTTTCTGTATTCAGGTGGAAAATATTTATACTTATTCCTTGTATAACAACTTCTCCCCCAAACTAATAGTAGAATCTGGCATTTTTCCTGGGGCAGCTCTAAGGTCACAAGATTTTAAAAAATGGAATCACTCTTCTTGCAAAGCAGTTTTCAAATAATTGCGGTAAGAACAATTATATTGGAAATATAACACTTAAGATTTAGCTTTTCGAATATTTTTATATAAAGCTAAAGAAATCACATGTAAAAACCTCTGCCTATATCCCCAGTCCAACCTTCACATTAAGAGTCTTCCCGTCCTGTTGGCTTCTTTACTAATACTAAGAACAATTGAGAAAATAAGGGACGGGAAGACGTTTTCAGTCCCCAATTTAATAAGGTTGCCCTTAACATCATCCAAAGTAATTTTCTACACCGAAGGAATGTTTGAGAGATCTGGCCTTATGGAAAAATGATAACAAAATTCAGGGGAGGGTTGCCTCAAAGGGAAGAATACATACAGTTCTACATCAAGGTGAAAACTACACATGCTGAACAAAGGCTTTTCCCCCAAGTATGCTTGCAGAGCATGAAAAAAAAAATCTTAAAATATCCACCACCATCCAACACAAAGGAGGGAAACGGCCATGCAAGACAAATAAAATAAATAAAGACTACTTTCAACAAGCGCTTTGGATAAATTTGGGTCTGCTTTAGAAATCTTTGCTTTTCAAACTGTTTTAAAGTAAACACTTAATTCGGCAAGAACAACATTCTCAGGTCTTTCATCACAGCTTGTACAATCGATTCCTTCATGTGGGAAGGAAAGAAGGAACTCTGCTTGGATATGTAATATTTCAGAAACACTTTTAAAAAAAAATTAAGGCGGCATAGTAAAAATACAAATATTTGATCAAATATTTGCAAAAATACATGATGCCTGCAAGAAACTCCTGTGGTCAGATAGTTCTTACAATGTTAAAAAGTGCAAAAATATATTTTGGGGGAAGGATATTAATTTCGTCCCCTTCCAACTAGCTAGATTTACAATTTGCTGAACAAAGAATGTGTGTTTTTGTGGGTGTTTTTTTTTTTTAAGCTGAAATTCACCACAGGAACTGCAAATTTCATACCTACATAAAAAGTAAAGATTCACGACCAATTACTAACCGAAAAGTTTGACTTCCGGCACAGGAATGCTGGCTCCCTTGAAAAAGCGACATGGAACACACAGGTGACAACCACAGATGTGTGTACATCAAGCTCAGGCACAGAAGCCATCCTTCCCAGAAGCAAAGCACCCAGAGCAGTGTGGCGGCAGGCCTCCCAGAGCTTCGCCCGCACTGTGTGCCCACAGGGCCTGATTCACACACTAGGACACACCCCGTGAGGCCCGACTGCCTGGCAGCACCATTCTCTCTTCTGACGGCCTGGGTCCAGGAGGGCTCTTGACTAGCTGGGCATTTTCAAACACTGTCACATTAAGCTGATACACCTCTCTGCACCGAAAGTCAATGACAGAACTCAGACCAAACAGCTTTTACCTTCCCGGTTACCACACCCCCCAGCATGTTTTGAGTAAAGCAAGCTCTTAGGAGGTCCGCTTTTCAGGACATTTCGCACCCTATAGCTGGGCGGCAGTGAGGTCTTCCGGAGGCCCAGCTTCCCGAGTCCGTCCCCCTGGCGGGTATGGCTGGTGCTTGCTGTTGGGGCACAGAGGGCGGCTCCTGCCCAGGAAGCCCCACGACACCTAGTGTGGGAGCCAGGCACACTGCACAGACAGACGCGGCGGAGCGTGCGCCCTCCTAGCCGACCGAGAGGCAAGCAGAGGCGCACGAGATGCAAGCGCGGGAGGAGCAGCTGTCCTGGGGCCCGGTTTCCACCTCCACCTACCTGGACATGGAAGTGTCGACTGACAGTGAGGATGGGTAGGGTTGCCTGAATCCTCCCGTGATGGGATATACAGGCTGACCTTGCCTGAGGTCACAGAAGAAAGGAACCCATCAATGACAAAACATGAGTAACCAACCAGCAGTAAGAGTTTGATGAAGGGAGAAGAGGGAGGTGTTCAAGGTGGATTTTTTGGACAATTACAGACGACAGCATTTCTTCAGTTGTCCAATTGCTTCCCTTCCTTAACCTCCACCCAATCAAAGTATCTTTTGCCTTGAAGAAAATCACCCACCCTCAACTTTATAAACAAACCAGTCCACGAATTACATGTCTTTTATCCCTTCCCCTCTTCCAACCCTGCTAATGCTTTGAACAAAGGAGGCAGGTAACGTGTTTATCAATTGTAACAGAACGCTGAGAATGGTGAAACACTCCTTTCAGAGGAGGTTAGTAGATTCTGTATCAGCATTTTTGACAAGTTCAGGAACAATGAGAAAGAAGAAAATAAAACTTCACATTTATATAAAAATGAACAAATATTTTTAAAACACTGAACTTACCGCCCCCCCACCCCCAACCAATTCCCCATGTGAGAGTCAAAAAATGAGAATCAATTCGTTGGAATGATTTTCTCTCCACTCTGAGAAGTCCATCTCTCCCTGTCTCCCCACATCTCACACTTCTCACTCACACCGTCCTCACTTCCGGCTGCCACTGACCCGCAGCGCAGATGACTGCCCTGCGCAGCTCAGTCCAGACAGAATGACTGACAAGAGGGTTAACATGTATGCACAACCAATTCAATTCCAGCTCTTACTGACTGGCAGGCCTAACACTACAGAGAGTGAGTTAAAACTTCCAAGGCAGGATGACCCCTTCTTCCTGAAGAAGAGATAATGTAGGGAAGTCAAGGTAGGGGGCTGGGGCATCGACCTGGCGCTGTAGGGACAGAGAACCAGCTGGAGAAGGGAGAGTTGGAACATTGTTTCCATGGGGGGCTGAGGGGGTGGAGAAGGGACAGGAGTGGGAGCAGGGAAAGTTGTACGCTCACAAGAAAAGTACAACAGGCTACACTGTGTGAAAGGATTCTTTTTTCCTAGAATATATTCCTGCTCCTTTACAATTTAGAAACCTTGAAGGCGGCAGTTAGCAATTTTTTAGAAATAACAAAGAGCAATTGGATTCTGAAAAATAAAAAAGCCCAAATGTTACTCATTTACTTTCTCTGAACTCAAGCTGGAACTTACTTTATGATTCAAAAGATGCTTCTGTATTTTTAAGTGTCCCTCTATTGATTTGTCATTTACCTCACTTGCCATTTATAAGCAAAGAGAGCATATAAGATATTCAATGTGTCTAAGCTTCCTTCAAATACGTAGGTTTTCATAGAAAATAACAGAGAAGAAAACCAGACTGAGCACTTTACACAGGCATAGCACATGCCCAGCGCCGCAAATTCAATCCATAAAAATAGAAGGTTCAAAAAGCAAATGCTACAGTCATTTTCTACACATATAAGCAAAGGGATTCAATTCATTTCAAAGTCTGTATGTTTTTTAATCTTTTAAATGGAAATGAAATAAAGTTACCACTTTGCTTATTGTTGTAAAATTTCCTCAATGCCACAAGAGTTATCATTCATAAAACTAATTGCCATGAATGGGAAGTAGAAGAATGTGTCAAATGCCTGGCTGACGTTTGCAGGAAGGATCTTACCAGCCAAGAGGGGGGGTAATCTGTCCAACGCCACCCGGAGACAGTGGGTAAAAGGTAGGGATCTCAGGAGCGGGAGGATGTCTGGACATGCCTATTAAAAAGAACAGAGAGGTTGAGTGTTCAAATTCACAGGGCATTTGACTCTTACAGCAAGAGAAAGGCAGTAAAATGCTTTATGCCATTACATCTTAAGGTCTAGAATGAAACAACAATTATTTATCAGTTCCATTTAACAGAAGTCAGTTTGGTATCTCTTCTCAAGATTTCAACATCTGAGAAAACAGGTTTTAAAATAATCCATCTTGAGGAATTTCTGAAAGAGTAAATACACTACTGATAAAAGTCATCAAAATAAGCCCGGCCAGTGTGGCTCAGTGGTTGAGCATTGATCCATGCACCGGGAGGTCACTGGTTTGATTCCCGGTCAGGACACATGCTCAGGTTGTGGGCCCGATCCCCAGTGGGGAGTATGCAGGAGGCGGCCAGTTCTCCCTCATCGACGTTTCCATCTCTCTCTCCTTCTCCCTTCCTCTCTCTCTCAAATCAATAAAGAAAAAAAAAGTCATTAAAATAAGACTTTTAAATTATTCAGTTTGCTCACATTGTTTCACTTCGGTTAAGAAAATGGTAGACAATTATTTTTGTGTGGCATAAAAAATGAGAGCCCTTCATAAGCAGACGGTCTGCCATGGTGCTCAAGGATTAGGTAAATTGCCACTTTCATATTTTTATTGGCTCCCTTATGGACATACAGATTTGGGAAATGTGATACCTCAGAGAATCAAAGATTAATTAGGAATCATCTTCAGCCCCATAATGGTCACACTTGATATGATTCATTTGGTCTCTGCCACTTCAGCTCCAACTAAGCTCTTCATCAAGTTGAGTCCTCTGGGCGCCAAGGTCAAGCTGTTCTGGATTAGTTGTATCCACAGAAAATGAGAGTGCCACCAAATTGTTTCCTGAGCTCCCTCTCCCTGGAGCACACTGTCCTACAACTGTAAAAATCACCTAAAGATTATACCTAATCCTAGTCCCAAATGATATGTCTTTGTTTATATCTTACTTTGGGTACAAAAAAGAAGGGGTAAGACATGCATAAAAATGCAAAATATGAAAACTTAGATGCGATATATTTGGGGGAAAGTGAGTGATTGTGAATCGAAAAGAGCCTCAAGTTTCCCTATATAGCTAATTTGACTTTATAAGGTCATTTCCATGTACAAACACACATTCCCAGGTTAAAGGCGTAGAAGATGCATCCAGTGGCTATAAACATATTGATTGACTGGTACGTGGAACTGGGCGAGCACGTGGAAGACACTCATTACGTATTCTGCTTTTTTGCTGTTTAAATTGGTTATGAGTCTCATTTGAATCTTAAAAGATACTGAAGGCCTTAAACTGGGAATAGCTTAGGAAGTGTTGCCTTATGAAGTTGATATTACTCTGACTATGAAGTTAGGAAAAAATAGTCTCAATTCTGCAGGAATTAGGTGGGATGGAGAAGGGTCTTTAATCTCTGCCTCAATAGAGAGCTTACATGTTTTTACATGGTCACCTCATGTTTTGCTGTTTTTGTTTTTTAAAGATGTTTTTAATTGATTTTTTTTTTTTAGAGAGAGAAAGGAAGGGATAGGGAGAGAGAGAAACATTGATCAGCTGCCTCCTGCATGCCCCCTACCGGGATCAAGCCTGCAACCCGGGCATGTGCCCCAGCTGGGAATCGAACCAGCAACCTTTCAGTGCCCATCCAACTGAGCCACATTGGCCAGGGCATGTTTTGCTGTTTTTAAAAGAAAGTTTTTAGATCCCCTTTTCTTTTGCTAGATCTACTGCTTCTTTTGGTCACAGTAACCCCAAATTTCATACTCTGGATTTTTTGGGGGGGTCTGGGTAGGTTTGAGCAGTGGGGGTGATCCAAAGGACTACAGTGCTGATTTGTGACATATCAGAATCACTGGCCCCACCCTCACCTGAGACTCACACCTCCCCGAACCTCAGGGTCTGCAGGGGGATTGCTCTGTTTTGAAAAGAAAAATCAGACTAACTGAGAAGGGCTTTGGGAACTTTGGGAAAATCTGAACTTGAAAATCATGGTTGGAGATGACAGACTACCAGAATTGTCTACTTTAATCCCCTGGTTAGAGCGATGAAGTGACTGTCTGGGTGCACAGAAAATAGTGGCTTGTCCCGGTCTCTTCTCACTGGGACACAGTAGAGCCCTGCTTGCAATCACAGGTCTCTCAGCAGACAAGCTTAAAACTGTGCTCGCCATGCTAGTCCACATTCTGAACATGCTTAGAACATAGCAGTGACTCTGGCTGGGGGTGATTCAGCAGAACAACATACACAAACCATTGGGTTTGGTTTCACTGCCCTGAAGGAGGGAGGGGGAAAACTAACGTTTACTTAGCACCTGGCTACATGCTGCTTCCTACACTGGTCCTTTAATTTGACTGTTTCTATTAAAATTCTACTCATATTTCAAATACCTCTTTCCCATGGAATATTCTCTAACTTTTACAGCTCCGAAAAATCTCTTTCTTCTTTGTATCTACAAGATTTTATTTGTACTTTTAACGTAGTACTAAAGATGTTCTTCATTTTGTTTTATAGTTAGTTTGTGCAAATGATTTCCTGCATGATCTTAAATACTGCTTGGAAAAAAGAAACCATGTTTTACCAATCAATGTATCAAACCATGTTGTCTCCACAGGAGGTTGTCAGTAAACACTTCTGAGTGACTAAACAAATGAACAAGTGGGGGAAAAAAAGGTGTTTAAACGGACCCATTCCCCATGCTGGGTCAATTCTGTGAACCATTTTGCAGGTACATACAAGTACATGAGGTACAAATAAATGGCTTAGGTCATTACATGAGCAGAAGATGGATGTGTTTTCTAAACAGCTTATCGTTGTTTTAAGATCCTGTTTCCAAAGATTCCTAGAGGTGTGTGTCCCTCCACCAACTGCTGTCTACTGAAGACACATTTCACATCACTCATTTAACTGGCGTGTATTGAACACTTACTCTGTGCTGCAGGCTATACACAGCATGGCCTTAAAGATTTTTAAGCTTTTACAAGTAACTTTTATGAATATAGATAAAATGATTTTGGAGTTAGGCTGTATGAATATATCGATTTTGCCACTCAACTACATATCTTTGAGGAACTTATTATTCTGAAAAAAATCAGAATAAAAATGAACTAGGGGTTGTTGTAAAGAATAAATGCATTGATATGTGCAATACAGAAAAGTGCTTGGTATACAGTATAAGTGGTATGTCTTTGTTGTTATTTATCAGGATACAATGAAGAGTACAAAGGTACAGTATGTATATAAACTCAGTATTTCCTAAAAGCTCCTTCCTTTTAACATTTTTACCAGATATAATGAGTGAACAAAACAATTGATATTACCTTCCTTTCTTGTTTCTACACCTACACCCAATAAACTGGCAGAAAGGTAAAAATGAATGTGCTTCCTAATGGGAAATTAATCTAAAGTTATTTTCTTACAACTGAGAACGGTTCTGCTGACAAACAGCTTATATTTACTGGATGGTTATATCTAGTAATAGAGTATGCACATGACACTCTTTTTTTTTTTTTTTTTTTTTAATCCTCACCTGAGGACGTTTTTGCATTTATCTTCAGACAGAGCGGGAGGGAGAGAGGGAGGAAAAGAGAGAGAGAGAAACATAGACGTGAAAGAGATCGACTGGTTGCCACTTACACGACGCCAACTGGGGCCCAGGACAAACTGCAACCAAGGTACATGCCCTTAGTGGGAACCGAACCCAGGTCTCTCTGGACCGTGGGCTGATGCTCTAACCACTGAGCAAAACCGGCCAGGGTGACACTTTTTTTTTTTTTAAATACAGCTCATCAGTCTCCTGGGAACTCTGAAACCGGCAACTCTGGCCTCAGTACCACATTCTAACTAGTTGCATCACACAATATAAAGCCAAAAGGCAGACAGGAGGAGAGAAAAGAAGGAAAAGCAAGAAACCCAGTGAGCTTTTTAACTTATTTTTTGGTGATGAATGTACTTTTAAATGGAATAATATAAATTCAAGATCATGTAATTTTGTTCTTTTCAAACCAAAGTTTACATATCTCATATCTCTTGAGATACAAAGTCCAGGACAAAAAGAAATTAAAAAGAGGGCCTTCATACTAAAAGCAACACAAAGAGTGTATGAAGTAGAGTGCAAAAATAACACTAATTTTTAGGATGAAATAAAGACTTTAAAGAAATGGCAGGCAGGCAACTTTTGGGTCATGCCCACTAGGCCTTCTCTAGTTCTGGAGAGTTTGTTAAAAAGAAAAAGTTTGAGAAGCAATGATATAATTACAATTAGTAAGGCAAAACAAGCTAGGGTAACATAAGTGATGGGAACCGAAGATAAAATAGAAATGTAACTGGCAGCTGGTCATAAACTAGTCTTTTTAAAAAATTCAACTGTCCTAGAATTCTTAAGAGGAAAAACTACTAAACCAATACATATTCTTCTTTAAAATAAGTTCATTTTGAAGTGCTGAGAACAGGGCCCACAACATAGGAAGCACCATGCAACTGTTAGGTAAATAAATAGTTAAAAATTTAATAAAACACACTGTTGGGTTCTTCTTGTTAACAGCGTGTTTGAATTTTTACAGCTACCTCTAACCGTCACCTGCGTGTCTGTGGTTCCCGGGTGCGCCTCTCCAGTCCAGGCCTGCTCTGGGGCTGCGATGTTTAAGTGGCCTACCTTGTGTTCCTCTCCAGATACCTCAAACTCACCACAACCAAGGTCATAGTCGTGATCTTCCCTCTCAAACTTGGCCTCCTTCCTAAAATGCCTTAGTTCCCGTTCTCACCATAAATCCACAGACCTTTCTTTGAGGTTTCTTATTCTTTGGAGGTCCTTGGTCAAAGGAAGCAGAGCAAAGACTGGAGGTGAGGACGAAAATGAGGCCGACCTGGAACCTCTGCACAGCTGACTCTCATCTTCTCTGAGTGAAGGTACCTGGGCTCCACTCAAGTGAAGTCCAGTAGTAACTAAGCCCTCAAATAAGTTGCCTATTTTCACCAGGGAGGGAAATGAAGGTGTTGCATATTTAACCTAGACGTGCTCACAGTGGTGGAAACAGGAAAAGAAAAAACAAACAAACACCCAGTCCCTGAACTCCACTCTTTTTTACAAACTTAATAAACATTGTCCACTACAGGTCACAGAGAGGGCGGGACAAAGGGTGAGAGGCTGAAAATGGCAAATCTACACCTGTCTGTTCTCTACCTTCACTTGGTTTCATGGGACCCCTCCCCTCCCCTCCCCTCCTCTCTCCTCCCCTCCTCTCTTCTCCTCTTCTCTTCTTCTCTCTTCTCTCTCCTCTTCTCTTTTCTTCTCTTTTTTTCTCTTCTCTCTTCTCTTCTCTTCTCTTCTCTTCTCTTCTCTTCTCTTCTCTTCTCTTCTCTTCTCTTCTCTTCTCTTCTCTTCTCTTCTCTTCTCTTCTCTTCTCTTCTCTTCTCTTCTCTTCTCTTCTCTTCTCTTCTCTCTTCTCCTCTCTCTCCAATCACAGTTGACATTCAACACTGTATTGGTTTCAGGTATACGGGATCTTTTACTTGGAAGTCCTGAAGATTCCGTTGAGGTCCAAGTGTGCATGGACGTGGACAGAGCACAGGCCACCCGTGAGCAAATCCGTTCTCCAAGTTTGCTCTCAGCAGGCGGGCCCGGCAGGCTGGGAGAGCCTGAGCTCTGTGTCCTGCAGCCAACCACCCCACACTCATTGCTGGTTTGATTTTTCAGACCTCTGTGCTGTGTTTTTCTGTAAGTGACACCGAAGTGGATCTTTGAAACAGCGTAGAGAAGGAAGCAAGATTCATGGGATTAAAAAAAGAAAAAGAGGATAAAACCTAACAGGGATATAACTAAAACCAAAAGAAATCACTCAAAGGCTCAAAAAGATAACATTTGAAAGTAAAAATCTACTTTGTCCTTTTTCTAAACTTTTCGTCTAACACTACCATCAACACCTAACACATGCTGAAATAAATAAGGAACTGCAGGGGGCACCAAGGACTGAATTTTCAGATATCTGTACAACATACTGGTTTATATCGTGGGTCCTAAGAGCTGTCCATTTGAACATAGCCCTGCTAGGTTTTTCTTTTCTTTTAATCCTGAAAAATAAAAGAAGTAACAACAAATTCTCATGGGTTTTTAAAAATTGCTATCAAATGAATTACTCTTGTCTGTCTCCTACAGATGTAATTGATCCACCCAGTGACCAGGAGCAAAGGCACCTACCTGTAAGTTCACCCAGAATGATGAGACATGGTCCCTCCCAAACTGAAAAAGACCTGGGGGGCCAGGGCTCTCACCTTGCTTGGAGTTGACATCTGATGGGATGTGTGACGGGTGTGATCCTGGAGAAAAGTGCTCGTCGCTGTAAGTGATGAGGGGGGTGAGGGGGTGAACCGCATGGGATGGCTGCACCACGGGCACTTTATTTGACTGCAAAGCAACCACAAGGTCAACAGTTAATCACGGATATCCAGCTCCTGTCTCCTCTCCCAAAGCAGCAGCCACACAATAGCAGGAATGGCACCAACATAACCCAAGAATCCGCTCCAGACCTGGACAGCTGAAATCATCTGCTATACTCATTCAAAGCTTCAGAATCTGGCCACATTAAATACTCCTCAAGAGTATGACTATTCCATCAGGAGACTCAGTTATCTAACCAGCTCCCCTTCAGAGATTTGGGTTTATTACTATTATTCCACATGGCATGAATCTCTGTACATACATACATCCCCTTTTAAATGATCTCTTCAGGTGGAGCTCAACAAAGAGTTATTGGAGCAAAAGTTATGGATGCTTTATAAGCGTTTTATTCATTACATATGTCTGGCAATAAAAAGGCACTCAATTAAAAAAAACGTTCAATGAACAAATAAATGAATTAATATTGCCAATTTGAAGGGCAAAGTTTTAAACAAACCAATAACTATAAATTTGCTGTACTGATACTCCCTTAGTTTCTAGAATTCATAATTCCAGAATTACACATCTCTAAGAATCATGTTATACCATTTTTAATGTTTTATAGCTTTGTCAATCAAACCTGATCATCCATTATGCTTCAACCCTACTCAGCTCATTTTCATGTTCTCTAGTTTCTAGAAGTCTTAATTGATATAAAGAATTTCCAATCTTGAGTTTAATGGAATAATATGAAATATAGCCTATAAAAACACTTTAAATTGTTAACATCTTATATATTTTAACACATTTTATCTTTTATTTGTTTAAAAAATTAAATGTACTTAAATTGGAAATCTAAAGCTACATAACAACACTTTTTAAAGATACAGGTTATTTATTTGGACTCCATCAATTTGAAGTCTGGGATCCTTTTGTTTGGTTCAAGATGAATTTTCCCCACCTCAAGAAAGTGCTTACTAAGCAAATCAGTAATATAAACTAGAGTCAGGCAATTTAACATAATTAAGGAGAAAGATTTTACAGAAACTCTACACCTCCCCTGCCAAAGAAAGTAAATTCAAAAAAATTATATACATGCAAAATGTGTCTGATTTTACCAGTTATCACGAAACTCTCTCTTTGCAAACCTTATTGTAATGAGCAACTTGTGCATTTAAGAGGAACAGGATATAATGAATTTTGAATATTCACTAATTCACTACTTCAGACATGCCTTCACCATAATTAGTTTGAATTAATGAGATTTTTTATTGTACTACAGATGAAATTCGTGTGATATCTGTTTCTCCAGAAGCAATTATCTGTATTAAAAATTTTGAGGAAACACCTGAAAACTGCACATCGCAGTATAAACTGCTTATCACGTCCGCCCACGTCTGAACGGTCGAGGGCCCTCCATACACTGTGTATGGTGGGGTACCTGTGACATACATCTTTTTGTTATTTGATGTTTTTTATAAACTAGGTATAAAAAGTAAGTGGCTCCAACAAGAGGTCTATCCTTAGGAAAATTAGGAACAATTATCCTAGTAACACTTAATTCTCTTTACACAGACAGTAATAGTAATTCTCTATACTCTATCATTACAACCTCCACCCAAAAGAAAGTTATGGAAAAAAAAAAAGAGGGGAAAAATATCACCCTTTTGTAGACAATGATATAATTTTCCATACTAGGTTTTCCCCTATTTTATAATTATCAGCCCCTCTCTAATGGCAGAACTGGCATAGCTCGTACAGCCCCTGGCATTTATTAAATAGAGCACCATTATCAAAGCCATACGCCTTTTCTCTATATACCTCAGCACAGACATCTATGCATATAAATGTGCAAAAGGTTAAAAAAAAATGTTTCAATGCTTTTCAAGTGTTAATGATGCAGTCTGCCAAATACACAGATGAGCTTCTTAAATACAAGGAATTTAGAATGCTAGAGGAGGTAGGGGGTGGTGGGAGGGGGGTATGGGGATAGAGAATACTGTTATAAACCCTTTTCCAAATGGAAACAAAAATCTCAACACCCAAATGCGAAAATGAATACATTTCAACTATACCTTAGAATAACAGCTTTGATTTTCATTTTAAAAGTCTCATAAGATGTGTAGTTGCCAAACAAGCTACAAAGATCTTTTCTTAGGGTAGCTAAAAAGACAAGGCATTGCAGAAATCTTCTGGAAACATATATGTATTTCACGTGCCTTTCTTATTTCCAGAGTAGCATCTTCTGAATGTCTGACCTATCCCTCCAGTCATGCAGCTCAGAATCTGGTGGCATGAATTTTTGCTAAATTATGCTATCCTTTCTCTCCTCTTAATTTTACGGTTTTCAACACAGATTTGCTTTCCTGTGGGAAGGAGATAAGAAGCCAAGGGTTTTAATTTAAGCTCTGGCCTTGTCTTATATTTTGCAAGATGGATAGCATACTAGTAGAGTGTTAAAGCCAACAAGGATTATGTCCATTTTTGTGGCAAAATAATAAAAGCAATATGAAATCTCAATATGTGTGAGCACAATTCTAAGGTTTATATTTGGCTCCTGCTGACCACCTCTACTAGGCATAGAAACAGAACCAATCTACACTACACATCACCAGCATGGTCAAGTGTCCTCACCCGAGACTGTGGGCTTCCCCTGAGAGCATGAGGGACTGTCCTCTGACACTATATGCACACACAAGGCGAGAATCCAGGCACTGCCACTGTGAGTAAGTTTTAACACAGACAACATAAACATTCTTAATTCTAGCCCTTGGATCTCCAAACAACAAAGTGGTGCGCCTTGGGGTGAGGGTGGGGGCGGTGAAGGAAGAGGAGGAGGAATAACCACCTATCAAGTCTTTACAGACAAATGTATGTAACTACATTATAACGTGTGGTTACACATGTGAACGTGGGCCTGTGTGTGTGTGTAAGCACCTAAAGTGTGCCAAGCACTATGTCAGCGCCGATGGCCAACAGAGATGAGGCCCCTATTCTCGCGTAGCTTTCTTTCCAGGGCCCTGCAAGTGGGGGTGTGGGTACTGGAGACAATCAACAAATATATCAACAACAAGCAAAATCTGAGGAGATATCGGATGCTATGAAAAAAACAACAATCAGGTGATAGGAGCATATAGCTAACGACATGCCTTTGTATCACGTTAACACTCTAAGAAACAGTCTAAAACGAAATAGTCCAAGATCTACATTTTCTAAAACAGGAAACAGAGGGCACCAGGGAATGGGGTGATTGAGCCGCGACTGTCATCCCCAAAACTCCAGTGCTGCTCAAGGAGCTGCAGGAAGTTAGGTCTAAGCTCACATGCAGTAAGTGGCTCAGTCAGCCACAGACCCGATCTTTCAATTCCAATCACACTGCACATTCTTCCATCTCAGGCAGGTGATCGGTCAGGTGTGCAAAAGAATAATTACAATGATGGGAAGAGTGGGTACTGGGGAAGGGGTGTAAAATACCAAGGGCGGACCCCGAAGACAGCTCTCCCATCTACTCCATACCCACACATTCCGTAGGAAGCCCACAGTCCTTTCCCAAACCTGAAAAATTAGCATCAGGCCGTCCTATGCACAAAGCACATCATTATATAGCAACTGACACCAAGCACTTTCAACTACCTTCGAGACACATAAACTGAGGCATGCTGTTAAGCAACTTTCCCAAGGGTGTAGAGTGAGTAGGTGGCAAAGCCAGAATCCTGACACAGGAAGTCTGGATCCAGCGGCCACATCCATCGCTGGTACACCATTCGGCCTCCTTGAACAGCCAAGTTCATAAAACCCTGGACACTGAATTGACCATCTGGGCCGTACCTAACAGGATATGCATCCACAAAATCCCTGTGTGGTCTCTGTCCCAGGCACAGGGATCACCTCAGACAAAGAGGCACCTCAGGACAAGCAATCAGACCTGCAGAAACTCAACTGCCGCCTTTCTCTCCACGGCTGGGAAGCCTTCCTGGAAGCTGCGTGGCCGCCACCCAGGCTGCTCCCTGCAGGTAGGGACCTCTTTGGCATCATAGCCAAAAAGCCACACCACCTCCTACGGATACGAAGTGGGTGCCACTTAGGGATCCTGAAAGTCACCCTGAAAGCAGGGTTTCCTGAAATGACCCACTCCCCCGCCGGCAGCAACTCAAGCTGTCATGAAAGTTGTCAGCTCCGAGGATGTGGTTCTTTCTGGGAAAGACTAAAAAGTGGTTCCGCTCCCTCCTGGTGAAGGCGTGGGCCTGCGGTAACTGGAGTAATTGGGGGAGAAACCTGCTGGCCTGGTAGCGAGTCCCCATTTTGCACATCTCCAGATTTCAACTAAACCCACAGCACAGGATCCAACTGTGCAGAAAGGTCCTGAGTTCCATTTCAATTGGCTGTGCGTTTTATCAACAGCCCTCCTGGTAATAACTGAATCCAGGGAAACTTTAACACTCCACCAGCGTACTGAGATGAGGAGTTCCATCTGGCCTCGGTGGTTGCGGGGGCACTGAACCTTTAGCACACCCTTAGGCAGTCTGGGACTCGTGAGGTCGAAGCCGTGTAATTTCATACTGCGCCTTCCCTCCTATGAGAACCTGAGCTTCTTCAGCCTTCTCACAAAGAGGAGCAGATCTGATTCACTCCCGAAGGATACATCGGTCCTTGCACCAAATAGACCTCAAAAGTAACATTTAACACTGGCAACCTTTCCAGAGACCCACAAAGCTCAACCTCTGACTTCGATCTGATGTGGCTTTCAAATCGAAGACCGCTATGCCTGTGACGCGGGAGCCCTCTTCAGTGACAATCAGGCCCTGCACTCGGAACACTTCCTAAGCAGGAACTGGTCAAGTTGTCAGGTTCGCAAGGGAGAGAGATTTCATGAGTCCAACTCTGGAGGCAAAGGTGTGCCATCACCAGACGCCTGGGATGTTCTCCTAAGAGGGGAAGGAAACTGTCACAGGAAAAAGAAGTGAGATGGATTGGACATCCAGTAAATGCCCGCCGTTATGGCCATGCCTTTGTATTCTCTGGCACTC